AGCAGTAATATTTAATAAAGAATTCTATTAAAGATGGATGTGTACATTATTTTATGAATAAAATTATATACTTACTTCGCGGTAATTTATCATATAAGTGAAGGACGGATCTATTTAACGGAGGATTCTACTGGTTATAGGATTTATACATTATTTTATGAATAAACTATATGTTTCATCCTGGTAATAAATAAAGAATAGAGCAGCAATATTGAATAAAAAATTCTTTTAACGATGAAATGTGTGCATTATTTTATGGGGGCATCCACAAATAACGTTATCAAACCTACATAAGACCTTGTAACCTCGCTAGACATAGGCGTTCTCAAACATTTCTCGCAATGAACTCAACAAAAAATCTAATTGGCTTGTCTAACCAGATGGCAAATCAGATCTTTATCGAGTTCACTGAGTTGCTTGAGAGATCTGATCTGGTTAAAGATTGATCATCCGAATATTCATTTGTTCAGTTTAATATCTGAATATTAGTCAAAAATTGAATAAAGATATAGATAAAATTCATTGAATATTCAATTTTTAACATTTCCATTTTTGAAATATCTTCCAGAATTATGATGAAGGCAACTCAATATGTAGTAAATTGCTAACAAAACCTTAGTCCTAAAGGGTGATTTAAGATTATATAAGACGATTAACATTGGTATGATAGATAAAATGAAATGATGAATGTAATGTACTATGAAACAATATAGAACAGTTAATTAAAAATAAATTAAAATAAATAAAAAAGTACGTTAGCCGCTGAGATAAAAAAAAATTGAAATAATAAAAATTAAATGATAAACGAGCCTGAATCTGAATATTCAATGAATATTCAATGAATTTATCCAGATATTCATTTAATTTTTTGGCTGATCCGGATATTAAATAAAAAGTTGAACTAATGAATATCTGGATGATTATTTATGACCAGTCAGACCACTTGAGTAAATTAATAAATACCCAAGTGAAAACTTTCTTGATATATCTGGCAAATAAGTTTTATGTCGTTATTCTTCAACCCCTTACTAACCTATTAAAAAAAGTTGTTATATAACATGAACCCTACCCCTCTTGTATATCATTATTTATGGACGCCTTTTCCATACTTATTTCCTGGTAATTTATCGTATAAGTGAAAGATCTATTTAATGAAGAATTCTATTGGTGATAGAGAATAGAGTAGTAATATTTAATGAAGAATTCTAATAATAACATGCATGTATTATTTTATATGCTTACGCCCTGCAATTTAACATGTAAGAACAAATTAATATTAAATAAAAAACTCTAGTGATAATAAAAATGCACACATTATATTATGAATAAATTATATACTTATGACTAGTAATTTAGCACGTGTCAGTGAAAAACATGAAGATAAAATGTATACATTATTTACATAATTTAACATGTAAGTGAAAGAACAGAAAGGCAATATTTAATGAAGAATTCTATTGATGATAAAATAAAATTTGTATTATAATTAATCTACTTACAGACTAGTAATTTAGCACATGAAAATAAAATATGTGTAAACTATATACTTACAGACTGTCAATTTAACACGCGGTTAAAGAATAAAGATGTAATATTTAGTAGTGAATCTTATTGATAATAAATTTATACATTATTTTATGAATAAATGATATACACATTGTCACAGTAATTTAACACATAACTAAGAAAAGAAAAGTAATATTTAAAGAGAAAATTCTATTGACAAAATCTGTGCATTATTTTATAAATAACTAACTATACGCTCAACTCCTGTCCTAGTAATTTAATATATAAGCCCAAAAACAGGAAAGTAATATTTAATAAAGAATTCTATTGATGATTATGTGTGCATACATAATTTTATGAATCAACTATATGATTATATCCTGGTAATTTATCATATAAGTGAAAGAGCAGAAAATATTTAATAGAGGATTTTATTGATAATAAAATGTACACATTATTTCTGAATAAACTATATGCTTATGCTCTATTTACTTAAGAATACCGGTATGTCAGTTTATCTGTATAGGGTAATACTGCACAAAAAATATCAAAAACAATGTATTTTCATATAGCTTAAATTTTATACACATTCATTTAAATGATATACAATATTCTTCTGAAATACTAATTTTACATTAAAATAATCACTAATTAAATGCAATAATATATTTGCACCAAAGCTTATATTATGTCTAAAAATTCAAAAAGTCTCTAACTGGTAATGATTTTACTATACCAAGCTTTGTTGGGATTTTTAAATCAAGTGTATATTCATCGCATTCTCTAATTGCAATTCGTGTATTTTGTCTATTATCCTGAGCAATAAGAACAGATTTAACAGCCTAACAAACAAAGGTGCCAAGTTTCATGATTGTTTCAGGATCTTTTTTTAGTATTGTCAGGTCAGTAGATTTCAAATGCAATAGAAGTATTTGTTTCCATACATCTTCATCAACAAATTCAGATAATTTACTATCTGATAGTTCTTCATCCCTAAATTATTATAATAATCACATATTTATATTGTACGATTTTGGATTCTGGACAACAGATATAATTACTATTTAGTAGATATGTACTTACTATTCATGTATTGCACAGAATTGACTTGCAATGTTTAAGATAGTTTGATAAAATTTATAGCGATATGTGTTATACCATGTATCCACATCTTTAGTCAATGTCATTAAGTGATTATCACTTTTGGCAATTTTACATACTCATACTATTAATTCCTCATACAACTCAGCTGTATTGTTTCTTGTATGAAGAAATAGTGCTTTGCATTCTTCCTGCAAGTAAAACTTCATATGCTAAAATTGAACCTATATAAGTCTACACCACATATTGATAATTGTTATAATAGTTAAAATTTTACCTGTTTAATTTCTGAAGTATTTGGTATATAGTTATAAGATCGGTCATTACTTGAAACTATCGTATTATTATTATCCATATCTGATACTTGGATTGTCATTCCATTTTGAATCATCCTAGCTAAATTTAAAATTCTTGGGTGGTGAACTAACTACAAAGTGATTTCAAATTCATTAGACGTATTATGAAGCTTTGTAATGGCAGTTTGAGATAAATTATATTCTAAATATGTAAAATTGTTAATATGTAGCTTTATATCAGATTATATTAAACAATAATTCTTATCCTTATTTATATATATTGGTATCGCTCTTGAAGCCACTGTAGCCATATATGAAGCTTCATTTATGCAAATCAGTAGTGCTATTGAAGTTGTCATTGCCGTATGTAAAGCTTCATTTATGCAAATCGGTAGTGCTGTTGAAGTTGTCGCTACCATATGTGAAGCTTCATTTATGCAAATTGGTAGTGCTGTTGAAGTTGTCGCTACCATATGTGAAGCTTCATTTATGCAAATCAGTAGTGCTGTTATAATTGTCGCTACCGTATGTGATTCCATAGTTGCCATATTTAATATTTGAGTTGTCATATGTGAAACCTTGCTTGCTGAATTCTCAATTGTAGAATTCGAAGATAACATCTCTTCTTTATTGACAAAAAATTTAGAAGGATCAAAGTCATCATCTAAACAATAAGATGATAATTATAAAGAACAAAAACATTTATTCATTTAATAAATCAGAACTTCGACGGCCTAATTTTTTTTTTATTAATAAATTAATAGTAAAAATAATACATATATACCATCATCAATAGCAATAGCATAATTTAAAGCATCTATAAATTAAATAAAATGGTTGGTTATGCTTAAGAAGCAATTCAAATCGCAGATTTAATATATGCCTGGTGCCTTTCCAGTATTAATTTTCTCTAAATGGTATTTATTTGTATCACTAACAGTTTCTTCGATTTCTTGATTTTGTTCATTCATTGATTTTTGTCTCTTTTTCGAGGAAGAAGCCTCTAAACAGGATTCATTTGCATCATTAACAGTTTTATCGATTCCTTGATTTTGTTTATTCGTTGATTTTGTCTCTTTTTTGAGAAAGAAGCCTCTAAATGGGATTTATTTACATCATTAACAGTTTTATCGATTCCTTGATTTTGCTTATTCGCTGATTTTTGTCTCTTTTTTGAGAGAGAAGCTGATGCTTGAGAATCTAAACCTATGTATATTATGATCATTTCATCCTTGCTTGTAAGAATATAACATTATAAGCAAATAATTTAAACAAGTAAATAATATACCAGAATTGTGTGGCTGAGTTATTTCTTCTGCTAGTAGCAGTGTAGCATGAGCCTTACTCCTTGTAACAACTGTAAAAAATTACATTTAATAAAGATATGTATTATTTTAAAAATAATATTTTATTCACTTACCAGCTATTTTTTTTCTAGGAGCCATGGCGGTTCAACGAAAAGAAATTAATACCTTAGTCTTTGTTAGTAGATATAATCAGATAATTTATATTATATTACATGTCATTATATATCACTTTGATTATGCGTTATATTAATTATTTATATACTACAACTTTTGATTAAGTATTATTAACCTTTCAGTTACTTATTTAATTACATATTATTAAATTTTTGATTATACATTATTAATCTTTTTATTATGCATTATTAACCATACTAAATATAAATTATAATTTATTAAAGATAAATTTTAACAAACTACCAAAAAATATCAAACTTTATACTATGAAGAGATCAAAGAGAACAGCTCGTTCCTATACAAATATATCAAAGTTACACACCAGAAAGTGATGCAAAAAAGAATTGTTTGATATAACAGACTTTGTTGATACAGATATTTCAGAAAATGCTTTTTTCTCAAGAACACAATTTAATTTTAACTAATGCCGAAGCTGATAAATATTATAGTGAAGCTGATGAAATGGATAGAAAAATGGTCAAAGTTGATGAAGAAAATGATGAAGAAATTGATGAAGAACCTGATAAAGAACCTGATGAAAAACCCGATGAAGAAGCTGAAGTAGAAACATTAACAGACGAGGTTAATTATTGATAAACATGTTAAATATTAAATATAAAACATTAATATGTATATGAATTTTTTTTCTCCAAAGGAGCTAGAACAAGCTAATAACTTAAATGATGATCTATTTCAAGATTTTAATCATAGACCATTGATTGATACTGAAGAAGAATGTCCAATAAATGATGAAATTTTAGAGGAAGAATCTTCAAAATTTGAAGGTTTTGACAGAGAGTGTGGACCATACTTTCCAAATTTTATAGCGGTGGTACTATATGTGTAGATTACAAAGCACATGATTTGTAAGTGTATAAATTCAAAAAAGGAAATTTTAATAATAGAAATGATCAGTAATTATTAAAATTTTCCTTTTTTGAATTGATTTATTTTTGTATTACCTACCCTTATGGTTAGAGTATCCAGAGTACTGCAGTAGCAGAATCTGCGCAGAATTTATACAGAATTCTGCAAGCAGAATAAAAATTATTGGTGAATATAATCTATTGTCAAATTAGAATTTTTATTTTGTTTTTTAAAGTATTATTTATACATCACTGCAGAATTTGCTAATTTAACGATAATTGCAGAAAATTTTTAGTTAGAGCAGCAGTACCCTGAATACTCTATATATGGTATATATATATATATTAATATGTTGTTATACTTAGCAATCAGTGCGTATGAGGATTTTTTTAGAATCTTTAAATATCCCAACTTTTGCAAAGAAGATGTTGTTACAAATATTCGATGTTTCTGTAAATGGAGATATAAACTACCTTTTCTTCAAGTAAGGCAGCACAATGTATTGATTTATGAACAAAAAGCACCATCCACACTTTCATCTACTAAAAAAGCATTTGTCATATCACCTTTGGCATATTTGGAACGTGTACTAAATAATCTGACACTCATGTCTAAAATGTATATTGGACCCAGTATGGTTAAAAAAGAAAAGATTGAATTTTGGTATGAAGATCTCTGGCAAGATTCTCCACTTTTTGGAGAACATGAAATAAAATGTAATGATAGAGATTAGTAATATTATCAAACAAGTTTTTTTAAGGTTTAAGTTGTAAACATCTTAATTGATCCCTTTAATCTATTATTATTAACCTACTAAAAAAAATTTACAATCCATATAATAAACAAGTGCATGATTACTGTAAATAAAATTTAGTAGACCACACATATTTTGCTACCAAGTATTGCCATAAAAGGCTTTTTCTTATTTTAATTTTTTTTTTGATAACTTGCTATTTCCATGTCAAATAGTTAGCTTATAACAGATATTACCACATTACAGGATTAATAATATTATATCAATGCTTTTTTTAGCAGGTTAATAGCGATAGGTTAAAGGGTGTAGTATCTAAGTTTATATACTGACTCTAAAGTTTCTACTAATTCTTAATAAACAAAATTGTATATTATGTTTGAATAATTATATATAATTAGAAACTTATTGTTCCGGGGACTTTCTTTTATTAAAAATCAATCTACAAGATTTATATGCCACGTACGTGGCATTATAATTAATGAAGTAGATAGAGTTTATAAATTAAAAGTTGACCAGCTTTTGCAAAATAAAAATCTTCCTAATTACCATTCTAACAGCATTCGGCATAGTCGTGGAAATAATAAAGAGTTGTGGCTGGTTGAAAATGATCCTATATTCATTGACCCAGCAGATATTAGCCGATGTGTTATTGTGTGGCTCTGTGACCTGACGGAGTCTAAGCATTACGAATTTTATACTCAGGAAGTTGTATACTATTTTGGTGGCCACTGGAGATATCAGGATATTTCCAAAAGGTATCAATTACCTTGTGAGTATGTTATATACAATTCGCCACCACAACCCATGCCCACAATGAAGATATTCCTCGATATCTACATAGATGATTTCAGAATGTTTAGAAATGTATACCATTCCTTAGGCGGCATATATTTACAATTTGGCAATATGCCATTCTCTTCTCGAAAATTACTAAAAAACTACTTTTTAGTTGGTTTAATTCTATTCGGAGCCAGGTTTGATGAGTTTATCAAACCTGTGCTCAATGACATAAAACAATTAGAGAATGGGATTATTATAAATACAATATATCGAAGCACTTGGGTTGTAGGTAGACTCGGGTGTGTTACTGCAGATCTACCTCAAGGTAATAACCTTGCGGATGTTAAAAGACACGGAGCTAATCACAGATGCCGAACTTGCAGTATTCCAAGTGATCAGCTTACTTGTCAAAATTATAATTATATAGAAAATGCATGTTTCTGAGACCAAACCACAAAATGATTACTCAATATCAAATATCAAAAAGAGAAAACAAACAAAGAATACTTGGCTACTGAATATAGTTTGACAACATCTCCTGGACCTTTTAATATTCTTATGTGGGATCAGCACATGCAGATCCCACAGGATATCTATCATTCGATGGGAGGCAAAGCTAGAACTTTGCTAGATGTGACATTAAATATACTTAATGTTAGTGGCGAGGTGGCTTTCTTAAAGTGCTAGAAAACTATTGAAAAACCTTCTTTCTGGAGCCGATTGCCTAATCCATTAAAGCATCGGCATAGTTTTATATTTTCAGATATACTAAAACTTACCATATTAATGCCTTTTATACTTTAACGTTTTTTAAAATTTCAGCATATCAAGACTGAAATTTTAAAAAAATAGTAAGGAAGTTTTAGTAAAAAAAAAACAAAT